CAGTTACCTCTGCTCACAGTTACCTCTGCTCACAGTTACCTCTGCTCACAGTTACCTCTGCCCACAGTTACCTGTGGTGATGCAAGCAGAATGCTGAGGGTCCAAGCCAGTAGCAACATGCGTCGGTTCCTGCTGTGCGCACTCAGAGCATCCAGTGGGTGCAGAATCGCATGCTGGCGATCTAGGCTGATGACAACAAGGATGAAGGCAGAGGCGTGCATGGCAAACAGCTTCAGGAAGCAGAGCAGCTTGCAGAGCGCATCACCACCATACCACTGCACTGTCATGTTCCACACTGCATCCAGAGGCATCACCACAAATGTCATCATCAGGTCGGCTGATGCCAGGCTCAGCATTAATGGGCGCAGGTGAGATGCCAAACGCTGCCCTCGCCACACACTGACCAATAGGGCAAGATTACTGCAGGCAGCAAACAAGAAGAGGACAAAGGTGGCTCCAACTCGGAACTGAGCAGCCCGGGTGAAGCTGGGAGCCTCCCAGTCTGGTAGAGGAGGGTACTGGGAGGTGTTGTGAAGGGTAGTGGCTGTAGAACTGGTGGGGGGTAAAGACAACCTCAGGATGGACCAGTTACCTGCCATCCTGTACAGAAGAAGAAAAATGAAAATGAAGTTTTAGAATCACAATCACATTCTTAAAAATTACTAACTGTTTTCAGTTAGTAAGTTTTAGGAGGTAGGGTTAACTTAGCACAAACACTAGCAGCAGGTACAAACTGTTAGCTTACCTTAGCACAAGCTATAAAAGCAATCTGAAACTGTTAGCTTAGCAAAAACCTTCTTATACCCATTTTCTTTTAGTCATTAAGCAGCGTATTCATTGGACGCTGAGCATTCATAGCAGGTACATTTGTGTACCTGTGCCCTCAGGGTTGTCTGACAGTTAAAATGTTTTCCTGGGGTCACACTAGTATGTTCTCCTTCATGTTATCGTTTGGGATGTTCTTCTTCTTCTGTATCTTATAACCAGTGGACCTTCTCTGCATTGTGATGCGAGGCTTCTGGGGGTCACTGAACCTCAGTTTGCGGAGACACAGAGACTTGGTGTACAGGTGTTTTCTTTAGGTTTAATCTGTTCCTAAGTCACAGAAGATGATTCACTTGCTGACCTTTGATTGGATATTGCAGATCACCTGTCTGTTTCTCTCTTTGTCTACCAACCTGTAGTCCAACAGCTCTTATTGTGTAATAGACTTCCTATCTGTCACAGATAAGAATCTCCCTAAAGGCTGAGGAGAAGGGGATGGGGTTACCATGGTAACTGGGGAGTCAGTTGACTCAGGTTCACCTGTTAAAGATAAAAATAGCTCCAGCAGGAAGCCCAAGGCCTTTAAGTGTTGGTGCATTAAAAAGAACCAATCAGCGATCAATAATGCAGATGATAAATCCCAGACAATAGGGAATGTTTTCAACTGATTGGTGGAATGAACCTTCAGGCTTCTGATGGAGAAGCAGCTGAAACCTGTCTGGGCTGCTGTCAGCAGATGATGCTCACAGGTAGATGGAGGCGAATGTGCTCTCTGAGTGGATGCAGTCTAATGGTAAATATGACCATATGAAAACTGTCTCTAAGAGAAACACATCTGGTCCTTCACATGTGTTTCAGCACCACGTGTGTCCCATTTCCCCTTGTTGTTCACGGTGTGACGTCTGCTGCCCGTCACTACTGTCACCGTCACACACACACATCAGATGTTGCTATCCTAGTGGGGATATTCCATTGACACAATGCTTTCCCTAGCTGCTTATCCTAACCGTAAACCTAACCATAAAAATGGTAAATGGCCTGTATGGTGCTTTACACATTCAGTCATCCACCCATTCACACACTGGTGACGGCAAGCTACACAGCCACCCTGGGGCGCACAACCATAACCCAATTGTAACCCTGACGCTAAAACCATATTTTGAGTGTGAAAAATGCCTTTAACTTGTGGGGACCTGGATTTTGGTCCCCCTGAGATAGGAAAACACACACACACACACACACACACACACACACACACACACACACACACACAGGTCAGGTTACAGCTCAGAGGTCTGCAGCTAATTTTAGCTCCAGGATCAGTGTGTGTGTGTTTGTGGGTGTTCATTATATTACCTTGGCAACCTTCACCTCTGTCACTGCAGAGGTTCAGACTCCGCCTCCTACGTCTGACTGGCTGAGCTCCTTGGCCAGCGTGTTTGTGTCTGATGCTAGAGAGGCAGAGCCTTCACCAATCAGAGGGCTGGGTGGGAAATATCAGTGTGTTGAACAATGAACGAGAGAGTGTGTGTGTGTGTGTGTGTGTGTGTGTGTGTGTGTGTGTGTGTGTGTGCGCGCACGTGTATGTGTGAGTGAGTGTATGTGTGAGTGAATACAACCTGTTAACTAAACCAAGTCTCCATAAACATGTGATTCAGAGCACCTGACCTTCAGCACTGACCAGTCGCCTGAAGGTCCTTAGTATTGTAAAGAGTACAGTGAAGTGAGATGACGCCTATGCACACACACTATGGTGACAGTCCTGTACAGCTCGAGCTGCTCACTCAGTCCAGACGATGGAGGTGAACAATCACCAACAACCTGCACCGCCGTGTTTCACGCCAGGGGCGACAATGGTGAACTAGAGCACAAACTTCCTGTTAAAGTTCTTCTTCTACGCCATCAAATCCAGCCCCTCTTACTTCACCTCCGTTTTGAATATGCAAATTAGTCCCAGCTTCTAATTCCCGCCACACATCCACCTTTTACCTGCAGCTCAAGCTGACCTGCTCAAAGAAAAAGAAGGGTGTCTCCTCTCTGCAGTGTTAGAAATAAAACAGGAAATAACAAGATGACATCATCAAACAGCTGTTCTGGGCTCATTGCTGTCAAATGATCCTTCAACAGGTTAGCCCCGCCCCTCAGGATGATGTGATCAGGTTGAGTTTGATCAGAGAGCTAAGCAACAGACCAAGCTCAGTTCACAATCACATCAAAGCACCTTCACTGAGGCTTTTATTGTGAAAGGGTTTGTTTCTACCTGCTCAGCAGCTATGGATCGCTTCTCCGCCTCAGGTCGGACTCCTCTGTTCTCCTCCTCTCCTCCTCATGTTCTTCCTGCACTCCAGCACAGCAGAACCCAGAGAACCGTCTCTGATCCTGATCCTCAGCTGCAGCAATGAAGAGAACCACTGAGACTCAGACAGGCTGCAGCGAGGAGGAGGAGGGGGAGGAGCTACAGCCCTGTGTGTGTGTGTGTGCTTCCTGCTGAGTCAAAAATCACTGTTTCAATAGTTTCATCACTAATAATTTAATTACAATTAAATAATAAATGTTTTACACAGAAAAACAGTCCAAAGAATTCTGGCTGGAGACAGACGGCTGGTTGTGTGTTTTTATTTCTTTTTAGGTTTTCTGTTGTCAGAGTCTCGGGTCAGAGTGAGCAGCACAATGTGATGGCTCAGCTCTGATTCTCAGTCTGAGCCACGGCAACGCTGCAGCATTAGCTGACTGAAGCTCTAAGGACTTCAGTGACGCTGACAGGTCCTCTCCGATTACCGACTGTCCAATCAGGAGAGCTTACATCAGCAAACAAAACTGAGACCTCCAACTGGACACAAGGGAGGACTGCTCTCTGATGTCACCTGGGCTGCTGGGCGGGGCCTCACTGTCCTGAGCCAGTGAAGCATTGCTAGAAAAAAAAGGTTTATTTATTGACTTTTAAAAAATTGATTAATCAAGTTTGATTAATGGATGTGTCACCTGTCAGTGCGAGGATTCCCTCTGTCCAACCACAACTCACCTGGAAACACACAGGTACGTTATCAGTTCCACTTCCTGTCGCATTTAAAGCAAAGCACACCTGTTTGACGAGGTGATTGCCCAATTAGGTTTCAGTTCAATTCAGCTTCATTCATATCAGTAGTCGCCCCAATCCTGTAAACACCTACAATAATACAGAGAAACCGCAACAGCCCCTGTGAGCAAGCACTTTGGTGACAGGGGGAAGGAAAAAACCCCTTATAACAGGAAGAAACCTTCAGCAGAGCCAGGCCGGTTCAGGATTTAATGAATCAATATTGCATTATTCAAATTAAAATAAATTTTTTAAAGCCAGCCCTGTTCGACCGACAGCACAGTGAGGAAGCCGGCGCCATCCTCAGCAGCTCACTCACACAGAACTCCCGCCTGCATCGGTCTGCCTGCTCTCTCTGATCCAATCAGCAGGAGGCTTTCAGACTCTGCTGCTGTTTGCTCACGGAGACGCCCGGAGGTCCCTGAACGGGAAGTGCAGCTCCAAATTTAGATCGCTGCAGATGGAATAATAACCTCACGTAGACCTCACTGCAGCTGTGCACATGCTTTCACATATAAATATATTCATGGGTACAAAGTGAATAATTCATCAGGCTCCTTATTATTCACGGTGACTGTGAAGCTTTAAATAGCTTCTCTTCGTCCTCACACAGCTTCAGCTCTGAACTGACTCCGGCAGTGACAGCCTGCCTCCCTCTTCCTGTGGTGTTCAGGTGCAGACAGACATCAGACAACATGTTTGTGCACACCTTTATAAATCTGACTCAAGGCAACAGGTGCACCCCGGCTCTTCATCAACCTCAATTTCAATTCAAATCACAGCGGTCACCTCAAGATGCTTTGTATTGTAAGGTGTAGCCTACAATAACACAGAGTAACACCCAGCAATCATATGACCCCCTATGAGCAGCTCTTTGGCAACAGTGGGAAGGAAAAACTCCCTTTTAACAGGAAGAAACCTCCGGCTGAACCAGGCTCAGGGAAGGTGGGGGTGAGAGGAGGAAGACGACACAAAGACACGCCGTGGAAGAGAGCCAAATGATTCAGTGCAGAGTGGTCAATAAACACATAGTGAGTGAAGAAGAAACACCCAGTGCATCATGGGAATCCCCGGCAGCCTACGTCTATTGCAGCATAA